CCGTCCATCCTCAGGGACCCCTGGACCTGCTGGAGCCGGCCTCCGGCAGGCAAGTATAAGCTCCTGACCCAGCAGCCAATTTGGGGCCTTGTGCCATTCCAATTCCACCGGAGGGGAAGGGACATTCAGAGAGGTTCTTTTTACAATTTGAGGTTGTTTCCTCAGGTTTCTTTTTCTGCTCCCTCATGAAATGTCCCAATCCCTTGGGCAATAAGGGGGTAAGCAGGGTTGCTGGTGAAGAGAATAGAGAGGACCCAGTTTTGGCAGCAGGGACAGAAATGGCTTCAAATCTTGCCTGTATTTGCTGGATGTATGCATCGGCACATTAATTTAACTTCCATGAGCCTTGATTAAAAACAACCTAATTGAATTGTTTTGAGGATTAAAAGGTAAGTGTTTGACACAGAGTAGGCATCCAGAATGGGTTTCTCCTGCTTATTCTGAGCTGAAGAATATAAAAGTACTCCAGCTTCTCTAGGAAGGTGTTCTTCATAGCCCTTTTCCCTTCCAGCTCTCTGCCCTCCCTAAACCCTGATCTGGGGAGGAGTGAAGGGTCATTTTTGTCATCCATACATTGGACACAGAGACACATGCAGCAGGGAGCCCTGGCAAGAATTTGGGACCCACTCTTTACTGTCTCAGTTCAGGGTGAAGGCAGAGAAGGCCTCCCCATGAGGTCTTCACCTTACCTGGTTGACTGTAGCTTCAAGGACAGAAATAAGGCAGAATCGTGCATCAGTCTCCTTTCTTCTTCCTTTGGCTCAGTACTGATCTCTGACTTTTTTCCCCAGGTTGGAAGTTACTTAACTTCTCTGGGACTCCTTTTCCTCATCTGTCGCCTGGGAAGGAGACACATTTATACGAGTCAAATGAGATTAAGAGCTGAGCAAATGCTTCAAAAAGTATAGAGGAAGGCAGATAGAAAGCACTCTTAGTCTTCCATTCATTTTCATTTTCATTATTGCGTCGGAGGAAAGACCTGGTGTGGCTGCCACTGCTGATAAATCTCACCCCCCAGCCCCTCCCCCCCCCCGGCACATATGCAGTCACACATCCTGCTCTGGGAAAGTGGGAAAGTGCCAGCAGTGCAGGTCCCTCTGCCAGTGAGCAAGCGCTCACATGCCCCCAAGGCAGCCTGTGGATGCCAGATTTGATGTTGATGGAGTTCTGAGCTGTGCAGTCTGTGGTTGCCGTGTTCTGCCTCCTCATGCTCTGGCTTTGCCTCTCAAAGCGGCAGCAACAACCATGCTCCCAGGCTTGAGTGAACCAGTGCTCAGTAGGAAAGCAAGAAGTTGGACAGGACTGGTGCTGAGAACTCTCCTGGCTTCTTTCCCTGCATGAATTGGTGTGCTGCTAAAAAAATTGCCTCATCTTAAGTTTTGCAGTCTCCTATGGAGAGAAGTGGATAGCTGTGGGACTTCCAAAGCTGCCCAAAGAAGTTTGAGAGACAGACCACTACAGACCTCATTGTTGGAGGGGTGGGGGTCTGCCTCTAACAAAAGGGCCTGACGCAGAAGCAGTGAGGATCTCCAGGGTTCTCTCTCCAGTACAGAGTCAAGAATTCATTCCCACTACCCGCTTATACCCAGAAATGAACCCCTTCTTGGAGTCATGTCATTCTGGAGCCATGTCCACGGGGTAGGATTCAGCTGCTGGGCAGTCCAAAGGTCCACTTGACCCTGTACTCTATACCAGCCTGTCTCCTTCCCACCCCATTACCCAGGGCTTTGTAGGTCCCAGCTATGTGACCTTGACCACGAGTTTTGACTCAGAGGCACTGAGCCCACTGGGCTGGGAGTAAGACTCACCTTCCTTTTTATGGGGAGAGTCCTTCTACTGTGTGGCCTATTGATGTAGCGAATGAAGAAGATATCCCCACACTTGGTGCTGATTTACATCCCCTAGGGAATGCTGTGAGCAAATCAACCCCTTGTATAAAGAGCTAAGAGTTTGTGCATGAAAGAGCTTATGAAGAAAAATCCTCAGGTGGAGAGAAATTAGCAACCAGAGCTAGTACCAACATAAACAGAGTCCACTGTGTCAGATTCTGCTTGGGGAATATCAGAGAGATGGGAGCAAAACAAGACATAAAGGCATTTCCTCCCAAGCTTTCACCCAATGCCTTACTCCTTCCCTTCTCTACAGACCTTGCTTTAGTTTCAGCTAGGACACCTGCTCTCTCCTCCAGGAAGACTTTCAGGGTTCCTCTGTCCCACTGAGCTCTCCCAGCCCAAGCCTGGGCCGTTCTCTCTTCTACTAAGACAATCAAGGTAAGATGGGAGACTTTTTTGGCTTAAGAAAATTTCAGAGAGGGGCGCCTGGGTGGCTCAGTCAGTTAAGCATCCAAGTTTAGCTCAGGTAATGATCTCACAGTCATGAGTTCGAGCCCCACATGGGGGCTCTCTGCTGTCAGTACAGAGACCACTATGGATCTTCAGTCTCCCTCTCTCTCTGCCTCTCCCTCATAGGCATGTGCGCGCTCTCTCTCTCTCTCTCAAAAATAAATATTTTTTTAAAATAGAAATAAATTAAAAATTAAAAAAAGAAAAATATCTAGGAACTAAAGGGAGAATAAAATTGAAAGTGTAAAGGCCTAGAAACTGAGGAGTTTATGGCAGTCAGCAGCATTACCAAGGGTAATCAAAGTTTCCTTCCCTCCCAATGCCTAATTGTAGATAACATCAGATACCCAGCAACAGGAGGCCCCAATGTTACCCTTGGTGCCTCTCCCCTTTTCTTACAACCAATGTCTCCTCTCTGTTCTCTCCCAGAAGCATCTCAAACCCATCCTCTGTTCCCCATCCCTCTGACTCTGCCTTGTTCAAGTTCTCACTGTCTCTTTCCCGGACTCTGCTGTAGCTTCCTCGCCAGTCCTCCAGCCTCATCTCTCCTCTCCAGCCTTTCTTTCCAGAATTTCCTCCTCTCCTGGCCTTCCTGGTGAATGTCTCATTGTTTAATGAAACTCAGCTCAAATGTCACCTCCTCCAGGAAGCCTGCTGGGACTTCTTCAGGCAAGGCTAATTGTTTCCTTCTCTGTGTACTTTTCACTTACCCCGTGATAATATTTATTTCAATGTTTTGGAATTGCTGGTTAACATGTTTACCTACCTCATCATCCTTCATGGCAGCTCCTTCAAGAACCCAGACTATGGTTTATACTTCATATTCTCAGGGTCTAGCAGAGAAGCAGACCTTCATTACATAGCAGGACATGCCTGATGGAGAAAAGAGGGAGGAAGGAAAGAAGGGAGTGGAACGTGGAATGGAAATTTTGCATAGTTGTTGATTCTACAGTTCCTGAACCACCCCTTAGATCTTGTGAGGGAAATTCCCTAAAAGAAACACTCACCACTGCATTAGCCCGTGTTCTCTGTCACAAATTTCGCATGGTGCTGATTGCCCCTACAGTGTCTTCAAAGCTGCTGAGGAGGCTCAGAATCCTGGGGAAGCGAAAGTCCATGGAGATTAGGCTATGCCAATTCATGATGAAAACCAGACCAGAACCCAGGTCTTTTGGTGCCCAGGCCAGGGTCCTTGACACAACATCAGGGGCCGCTCCACAAGTTTTCCCTCCAGGCAACAGCATATAATTATCAACATTAGTATTTGGAATTTATATCCAGCTTTTGCTTCACTGGCTTTTTTATTATCCTTTTGATTAGTAATTCGGTATGCAGCCTAGGCATGGAGCAAAGCCAGGGTAGGGAGGGAAGGAGCAGAGAGGAGTCAAGGCCAAGTAGGGGGCCATGGGGCCCTGTGAGATGAAGGCCAGGGGAGAGCAAAAGTGCAAGAGGGTGCATAGACTCAAGGGACAGTGCCTTGGGTGTGGGAGGGGGGAGAGAGGAGAAATGCCTGTGCAGATGCTCTATGGGCCCCAGATGAGTGGTCCAAGAACCTTCCTAGTCTCAGGGCCTCCACTCTAATAGGGCAGGGGCAAGAAGAACAAGAATATATTTAGCACCCAATCAGTTAAACACCACTATCAGCCCAGCCCTGAGACACAGCACAAGGTTTAGGGAGTTCTCTGTCCAGTAGAGAGGAGACCCAAACTCCATGACAGGGACTCCTGGCTCCTACAGTGCATGCTGGGAACTAAAGTGAACTGTCCCAGATGCTCCATGTTATGTGGGAGTGAAGGGGTCCTGGAGCTCACCATTCAGTGTAACATCCTTGGATAGAAGGCGAGGGAACTCCCACTGCCAGAGCTTGGTCCCCAGTGCCTTCTTCCACCCCCCAGCCCCTGCTCATTCTGCTCTGGGGTTTACTTTGCCCCTATTTGCCTTCAGAAAATGGGGAAACTCTCCCTCCCCCAAGCCCCCTGATATTGTAGTGAGACTCACGACCTGGCATGGAGCTTGAAAAATAGTCCCCATCTTCTTGTAATACCCTCAAGATGAGGGTATCCCCATGATTAAAAAAAGAAAGAACGAAAGAAAAGGAAAGGAAACCAGGATGCAGGATGGAGGGGGACAGATAAAGAGCAGCACAGTAGGAGAGACAAAGCAGACAGAAGCCCTGGGCTCAGATCTCAGCTCTCCCTCTGGGAGAACTCAGGAGAATGTGCACCCACTAAGGGCCTATTTGAGACCAATATGTCACATTTGTCATCTCATCTTGTCCTCATATGACCCCTATGAAGTGGCTACAGCTCCCCCACTTTGCAGATGAGAAACCCAAGGCTTTGAGAGGTTAACTCGCTCAAGGTTATACAGTTAGTGAGACACTAAGACCAAACCTTAGGCCCATGGTCTTTAAAGCCTGTGCACTTGCCGGCACAGCACTGTTGTCTCCAAATCAAGAGACTTAATCTCTGAGGACAGCTTCTTCATGTGTAAAATGGAGGGGGAAGGGCAGGGAGAGGGGAGGGATTATATTGCCTCATAGAGTTAAGAAAATTAAATGAGATTATATTGGTTAAAAACATAAAAACCTGACATGGTGTCTGGTATATAGTAGGCGCTCAATAAATGCTTTTTGTTTGCTTGTTTTCTTCTCTTTAGGTTAATATTAAAACTCAGAGCTTGGGAACCTAGGAGCTCCAAAATACTTCAAGAAACCCCAGGGCCGCCCATCGTTCCTGCGGGAATGGGGAAGTAGGGTAAGGAGAAGGGCTGATAAAAGGAGCTCGGCTCCAGGAATCAGAGACCTTTCCAGCTGTGCGCCCCTCGCTCCGCAGCCTCCTTTGGGCTCCCCTGACTTCCCGCCCCGCCCCGCCCCGCCCCGGAGCTGGGTCCGGAGTGCCTGGTGGGCTGATTCCCGAGCGTGGAAGGGAGACGGAGGGGAGAAAGGCGGCGGCAGCGGCGGCGGCGGCGGCGGCAGGCTGGGAGGAGGGGGATCCTCCTCTCTGCTCTCCCAAGTCGGCGCGGAGCCGCCTCGGGCCGGGCTAAGGGCTGCGTGGCGGCGGCGGGGCCGGGCCAAGATGCGGGGCTCCCGGGACCGCGCCGGGCGGGGAGGGCGGCGGCGCCGGGCGGCGGGCGGGAGCTGTCCGCGGTGCTGAAGCGGCGGCGGCGGCGGCGGCGGCGGCGGCAGGGACCCGGGGCCGGGAGCAGAGGCGCCCTCCTGGGAGCTCCACAGCGGCCGCAAGGCGGGGGCGCCGTCGTTCACCGGCCCATGCTGGGCCCCCGAGCCCCGCGGAGGAGGCGGGACCGTCCTCGGCGGGACAGGTAAGGGGCCGTCTGGGGGCGCAGCGGGAACCCAGAGCGAGACACCGAGGCTGAATCGAGCTGGGGAGCATAGTGGGACCCCTCTCAGGGATGGGGGTTCTTCCTCCCTGCTGACTGCATCTTTTCGCTCCGCAAGAGATCACTGCCAAGTCTATCCCTACCCCTCACCCTACAGGCTGGGGATGCTAGGAGGGGCCTGTGGGACTGGGGCCCAAGTAGGCACCTGGGCACTCTGACCCCATACCACCAGGCCTTAACCCCAACCTGAGACAGCTCTTAGACACCCTGCCCACAAAGAACGGTAAGGAGAGTATCCTGGACTCCTGTACCCCAGTCCCCACCATGGTTTTGCTCATGAGGGAAATCTGAACTAAGCATCCCTCTCTTCCCCAAGCCTGCGCCTCAGGGTGACTGGAGTGGCTGTGTTCCTCCCCTCGCCCCACGCCTCAAGATTTCTTTGCCCGCTAATGGCCCTTGGGCTGAGGATGGGCCAGGCCCCTTAGGACTGATTAACCCATTTCTCCAGGGAAGGAAGTAGGTACCAGAAAATACCTTCATTTTTTCCTGTGGCGCTCTTGACTCTAACGGAAGGAGGCTGGTTTTGGTGCATGAGGGCAAAGAGTGGGGGTACCTGAGCCTTGTTTTCTAGTATGTGCCCAAATCCTGGTCACCCTAGACAGAGCCTCCATTTGGAGTCCGCCCTCTTTCTGGCAAGAGTGTGCTGAATGAGCTCATTCAGGCCTGCAAAGTGCTTCCAATTCTTCAGAGCAGAGTTCTCTGAGTGGCAGAATGTAGAGATCAAAATAAAACTGCGTAGAGGAAGATTGGCCTATCACTGTGGCTGACCACTGCTTTGTCCCTATTATTTCAACCAAGCACAAATCCCTCCCCCTCCCCCCCCCATAGAAGGAGCACTAGACTAGGAGTTCTTGGCTGAGCGCTGGCATTTATCAGCTTGAGGCCAGTTCCCTGAAACTCTCTGAATCTTAGTTTCCTCATCCCTCAAGTGGGGACAAGGTAGCTGCTGTGCCACTTCAGGGAACTGCCTTGGGACTCAATGAAACAATGTACCAGATTGAAGGCTTGTCATCTGTAGGTCATCATACCAGCATGAGCTGCTGTCACTGTTTCTGTCCACTAGCCAGTCTGGCTGGAAGTGATCCAATCGTTGTTACCTCTACCCTTTTCTCCTAGCCTGGCCATGGCTTCCTTTGTCTTTGACCTCCCTGGGGTCATAGAATCTGTGAAACCCAACTTATAAATCTTGAGGCATCAAAAGGGCTCCCTCCTCCCTTCTCTTTCATCATCACCTATAGAAGATAATGTAGGGTGAGAGTCTGACTCACAGTTTTCATTGCCTTTTTCCCCCCAAGAATCACAGATCTGAGGAAACAGCTCCTTGAAGGCAAGGATTGTGTTGTTTTCATCTCTTTGCCTCCCTGCACACCTCCCCTCCCCCATAGCACCTGGAAGATAGTAAGGACTCAATAATTGGGTGTAAAATAAGAGAATGGAGTGTTAAAATATCTCAGAATAAAAGCTTTTGATTGGAGTCAGGAGCCCCATGTTTGGTCCCAGATCTGCCACAGACTCAGGCAAAGTCCTTCCCCTCTGTAGGCTTCAGTTTTCTTATCGGTAAAAGAAGGTTGGACTAGATAAGTTCTAACATTCCTAATGTTCTGGGAGTCTCTCTGTTGGCCATCTTGAGACCACAAATCTCTCAGTTCTTGAACAGAGCATACCAACTTCATTAACCTGGTTTTAAGACTAAGTTAATGTCCTTTCAGCAGAGAACTGGATTTTATGAATGGAGTAGGAGGAAGCAATAAGAACCTGAAAAAGCCATTTATATTTCTGATGTTTCTTTAAGATCCCCCTCTCTTCTTTATTTTCCTGGGAAAGCCATGAGTGTGTACAGAGTTGCAGAGCTGGGAGGGCCCCTGCCTGCAGACCAAGGGTCCAGGAAAGGAGCCCCCCTCACATTATCCCTTGTGAGTAGCCAAGGGCCAGGGACCCAGTTCTTAGCCACCTTCTCCTAGGGACCCTGCCTGGCTGGATCCCCTCTCCTAAGAAGACTAGAGGAGGGGACAGTCAGGAGAGATCCATCCCCGGGGAGAGCTTTTTTTATATATATGAAAACAAAATGTGCTTCTCTGACAATAATTTTCTTCAACTGTGGCAGGCCCAGCCAATGGTCGGAAAAACCTTAGCTAATTGGCACTTGGTTAGAGCTGAGTAAGGCATGCCAGTGACCCCCATGACTTACCCTTTAAGCACCCAGCCAATGTGGGGGATCAACCGCCAACCCCCACCCCATGTCAGCACTTTCTGGCTCCCAGCTGTTGGTGCAGCACTGGCAAAAATCAGCTCTCTAGAATTAATGGATAGTCACTAACCCTCATAACAAAGTAATGGCAACCGCATAGTGCAGCAAGCATAGAGAGGGGCTTTATTTTCTACAAGACTAGTCTGTGGGGGTGCTGGGCTCCTGCTGGGGCTAGAACAATGCACCACCCCCTTCTGCAGCTGTTCTCAGAGTTGTCAGAGTGCAGGGTATCTCTTGTCACCCTGGTAGACACATCTGGCTCCTCTCTCAACCAGGGAAAACTACCCAATGGCTACTCCTTGTGTTTCCCACCTGCCAACTCTCTACTGGGCCTCTCTGCTAGGCCCCCTCAGCAATGCCTCAAAGGGAAGAAGAGAGTCAGCCCTGGCACATGATTAAGTGATCCTAGTTATCTGGGGCCGGGGGCTGGGTGGGGGGGGAAATCTAAAGAAAAGGAATAGATAAATGTAACATGGTCATTAAGAAATGACGTGTGTGTGTGTGTGTGTGTGTGTGTGTGAGAGAGAGAGAGAGAGAGAGAGACTGAAACATTGAAATACACACATGTAGGTCCCTTATGCTGGGTGGCACATATATGACAAAAGCAGAGAATAAAATATCTAGAGACATCTGCACATTATTAATTACCTTCAAGTTCAAAGGCCAATTCATCTGTGAGTCCTAGAGGGACTTCCAGTCCCAAAGTACACCACTCCAGGGAGAAAGTAGAAGAAACAACCCATTTCTCTAAACCTTTGTCATTTTCTAACCCCCTTTTCTTCTCAGGGGCTTGGTGGGCATCCTGCCTGGAGCAAGGTCCCCTCTGCAGCAAGGTGGGGGACAATAAAGACAAATCTCATCCCTAATCTCATCCCTGCTCTTTGTATTTAGTTTCTCTCTTCTCTTTACTCCTCCTTTATTCTCTCTCCCTCCTCCCTGCAGCTGTCACCAGCACCCACCACCCCCTTTCCTCAAGCAAACCAAGCGGGAGTGAGGACCTGATGCTCTACCTCTTCTCTCCGTTAGGTGTGTTATCTTCTGCCATTAGATGCACTATTTGCTTCTAAGTGGTTGGGAACAAGCTGCTTCAGTGAAGAGACAGGTTGTTTCAGCAAGAATAAAGATTTGATTCCTGCCTGAAAATGGACTAATTTGAGTAATGGTGCCACTGTCCCAATCCTCCTGGTAACTTTCACCTTTGTTAGCCACAGACCCGGCCCTAAGCCAATAGATTATACTCTGAGGGGTGGTGCAGTCTAGCCCATGGGAGCCCAGGGTGAAAGTAGACAGAAAAGAAGGTAGACTGATGTCCCCTGGAAGTACCTAGGAAGCCTCCCCTGGGAGCTGAGAAGTGTTCCAGCCATCCTATCTCTCTTTCCTGGGTTCCCTCCTTCACCCTCTCCTCTCCTCTTCATAGCTCCATTGATAATTCTCAACTGTCTCTCTAGCCCTGACAATGATCCAGGGATTCAACTGCATATATCTAACTGTCAGGTGGATTTTCTACCCTAGCATCCCAAGACCCAACTCATCCGCTTCTTCCCACCTGCTCTTCCTTGGTGTGTGTGTGTGTGTGTGTGTGTGTGTGTGTGTGTGTGCACACATGTTTCATTTTACTGGATTGGTGCGTGGTGAGCCTTTTCAATATAAATATTCTTTTGTTTTTTCAGCTCAGGAACTACTTCCTGTTTCTGTCCCTTTAATTGTTATTCCCTTTCAGTCTCTGTTGTGTCTTTCTGAAATTCCTATTAGATGGATGTTGAACCTCTGGGACTCCCCTCCATGTCTTTTACTTTTCTTTCATATGTTCTGTCTTCTTGTCTTTTTGCTCTATGTTTTGGGAAATTTCATTAGCTTGTTCTTTCACATTAAATACTTAGTCTTTACCTGGGTCCATCCTATTATCCAGTTTTTCCATTAAATTTTTTAAATTTGTATTTATTTAAGAATCTCTACACCCAACATGGGGGTCAAACCCATATCCCCAAGAGTCACATGCTCTTCTGACTGAGCCAGCCAGACACCCCACTTTACTAAATTTTTGAAAATTTAGACAAGTCATTTTCGTTTTCCAAAACACTTTCATGTTCTTTGTTCCTTTTTCATAGC